GGGGGGGGGGGGGCGACTCTCTAGAATGTGCCTCGCCCACTCAGCATGCATTCAGCACCACCTCCATAAATCATGAAATTCGGGAATATAAATTCTCATTATCTTTGGGAGAAGTTATAGAGCATTTTGTAAAATTCACCAAGAGAGAGAGAGAAGATGCACTATTTTCCCTAATAAATAGCAAAAGCTCAAATATCAGCCACAATTTTTAGCTTATTAAATAAAAGAGATGGGAAACTGTCTCACACTCCCACTGAATTTGTTTGTATGTATCCTGGATAGTGATAGCTGTGGATTGGATACTATGGTGTGATGGAAAGTAATTAACTCAAAAAAGAAAAGAAAAGAAAGAAAGAAAGAATAGTCACTAAGTTCTCAAATCAATGCATGTAGCCCAAACATTTTAGAGATTTGTCTGCAGGCTTAGAAAGCGAAAGTGGGCCCTGGCCAGTGTGGCTCAGTTGGTTGAGCACCGTCCCATGCACGGAGAGGTCAACAGTTCTATTCAGTTCCATTCCCAGTCAGGGCACATGCCAGGGGTTGTGGGCTCGATCCCCAGTAGGGGGCCTGCAGGAGGCAGCCAATGGCTGTTTCTCTCTTTCCCTCCCCCTTCTTCTCTCTCTAAAATCACCAGAGGATATTTTTGCCATTGATTTTTTTGGAGAGAGAGTGGGAGGGGAGAGAGAAAGAGCGAGAGAAACATTGATGTGAGAGACACATCAACTGGTTGCCTCCCACATGCACCCTGTAAGGCCTCCCTGACAATGGGGTGGGGGAGAGCAGGAAGGCTTGACGTCAGACTGCCTGATGAATCTGCGCTCTCCCACTTCCATTCAAGCCACGTAACCGTGACAGGTGATTTCGCCTCTCTGAGGTCAGGGGGAGATGAGTCAGTCCCCTCCCCTCTCATGGCTGTCACCATGCTTGGTCTTCAAGACCCTCAGTTCCTTATCTTGGGTTGCCCTGGGGGATCCAACTAGGACACCTGCCTCTTTATTGGTTCTCACTCTTCCAACCTCTTCTCTCTCTCTCTCTTTTAATCTTCACCTGAGGATTTTTTTTTCCCTATTGCTTTTCAGAGAGAGTGGAAGGGAGAGAGAGAGAGAGAGAGAGAAACATCGATGTGAGAGACACATTGATTGGTTGCCTCCCAAACACGCCTGCAACCGAGGTACGTGCGCTTGGCCAGAATCGAACCCGGGACCCTTCTGTCCGAGGGCTGATGCTCTACCCACTGAGCCAAACAAGCTAGGGCTCTTCCCTCTCTTATGAAGTGCTCTGGCCCCTTCTGCTCTCCCCAGCCCTCTCTGTCCTTTCCACAGACTGCAGCCAGGACGCCTGGCCTCTCTGAGGCTCACTCCTCCAGGAGGCTAACTCTGGCTTTGCCTTTCTTGCTAGACTTTCTTTTCCTTTCTTTCTTTCTTAATTTCATCTTCACCCTAGGATATGTTCCCACTGATTTTTAGGGAGAGAGAGAGGGAGAGAAACAGTGATCGATTGCCTCCAGTATGCATCCCAACTGGAGATGGAACTTGCAACCCAGATATGTGCCCTGACGGGGAATCGAACCCGCGACCTTTTGGTGCACAGGATCATGCTCAAACAACTAAGCCACCTGGCCAGGGCAGACTTTCATTTTAAAAAAATAATGAAGGAGGGGAGAAGAAATGACTGTGAAAGTATCAAGCCAGAGCGGTGGTTCTCAAACTTTAGCGAACATCGGGCTCACCTGGAGGGCTTGTTACAGCCCATGCCTGGGTGCCTTCCCCAGCGTTTCAGGAGGCCTGGAGCGAGGCCTAAGGATTTGCATTTCTAACGAGCTCCAGGTGAGGGGGATGGCACTGGTCCAGGGACCGAGCTCTCAGATACTTCCCAGACAGATGTTCCTGATTTTGTGTGCACCCTGAGATCCAGGGCAGGGGACCAGGTGCTCTGGAATCAGCCTCTGTGCCCGCTCAAGTAGGAGGGGCAGGAATGGGAGAGTATAAAGCCAGAGGCGACCTTCGCTCAGGGTGGGCCATCTGCAGGTAAATGGAGGCGATGAGAAAGCTGGTGGGCTGGATGTCCCTGGCTCTCTGTATGTCTGGGCTGAAAGCAGGTGAGATGGCAAGTGGGGGGAGGGGCAGACGACACAGGAGGAGGGGAGGCCTAGGTCTAGGAGGCAGTGGTTTGGGGTGAGACTGGCAGGAAACAGATTCTATCCATTGTCCCTAATACCTATTCTTTATTTTTTCTTAATCTTCACCTGAGGATATGCTTTTATTGATTTTTTTTTTTAGAGAGAGAAAGAGAAACATGAATAGGTTGCCTCCCATACACTCCCTGACAGGGGATCTTACCCACAGCCTAGGTATGTGCTCTGACCCGGAATCAAACCCGCAAATCTTTATGGTGCTCGACGCAATGCACCAACCAACTGAGCCACCAGGCCAGGGCACCTAATGTCTTCTAAATATAGCACAGTGGTTGGTGCAGAGGATTTGGAGAGTCCTGAGTGCAAATCCCTGTTCCTCCTCTTGCTGGTTGGGTGACCGTGGGCAAGTAATCCTGCCTCTCTTTCAGCCTCAGCCTTCTCATCTGTGGAACGGTCAGAGCTGCTAAGATCGAGAAGGCTGCGACAACGTGGATCACCCGGGGGGGCATTATGAGGAGTGAAATAGGCCAGTTACAGAAGGACAAACACTGCCTGGGTCGGCTTCTACGAAGTGTCTAAAATAGTCAAAGTCATGGACATGGAGAACGGCCATTGCCCGGGCTGGGGCGAAGGGAGGGGGAGGTGTTCAGGGAGCGCCGAGCCCCAGGCCTGCGGAACGAGCCGGCCAGGGACCCGTGTGCAGCTCACAGCCTGGGCTTGGCAGGGCGGCCCGAGCGCGTGAACATTTCTTAAGAAGGCAGATCTCACCTTAGGTGTTCTTAGCGCCGTTAAAAAAGAGGAAGCTTATCGGATATTGCTTTAGAAAGTTCTCCAAGACCTTTTGTTAAGGGAGCAAGTTTCCAGATCATCGGTATGGAGGCCAGGGTCCTTTGTGTAAAAAAGGAGTGAGCCGGGCCAGCGTGGCTCAGCGGTTGAGCATCAACCTAGGATCCAGGAGATCCCGGTTCGATTCCCGGTCAGGGCACAGGCCCGGGTTGCGGGCTTGATCCCCAGTCGGGGGCGTGCAGGAGGCGGCCGATCAATGACTGTCAACATTAATGTTTCTCTCTCTCTCCCCCTCTGCCTTCCTCTCTTTGAAAAAAGAAAAAAAGAAAAGGCAGTGAAATGGTATTAAACTTGCCTTTGAGCCCTGGTCATGATCAGCAATATTAGTGACTGAAAAGGACCATTGTGGGGACACCGGAGTCTGAAAGAAATCGCTTTCTCCCTGGAGCCAGAGGGCGCTGGCGGGAGTCCAGGCCGCACCCAGGGTTCACAGTGTGGACGGCGGTGCAGTGAAAGGATCTCTCTGATCTTTCATCTGTAAAACGAGCGGAGGGCCGTGGGGATTAAGGAGCGTGGAGATGAAGGGTTTTGAAGGTCAGCAGCTGCGACTGGGCAGAGCAGAAAGCTCACACAGAGACTGCTGGTGTTTAGGACAGGCTGGGTGCCATGGTTTCATCCTAAAAGGGGCCTAACCTGCACAGGGAGGAGGTCCAGCTTTGGGGTCCTGGCTGGGTGGCTCAGTTGGCTGGCGGGTCCTCCCGGGCACCAAAAGGCTCCGAGTTCAATCCTCGGTTTGGGGGCGTAGGGGAGGCAACTGATAGATATTTCTCTCTCCCATTGATGTTTTTTTCTCCCCCCCTCCAAATCAATAAAAATGTCCTTGGGTGAAGATTTAAAAAAAAAAGAAAGAGTTTTGGGGTCAGAAACAGTGCCCCTCAAAGGCAGAGTTACCTTAGAGGCTCAGTTTCTGGAGCCTGAGGACTTAAACTGCTTCTCAGTCCCGTGGCTTTGAAGAAGCCATTTTCCTCCCAAGCCTCCCTTTCTGTACCTACAAAGCGGAGATCATCGTAATAATACATAACCTAGAAATATCACATAATAATGCCCCCTTCCAGGGCATTGCAAGCGCGGGGTTCCCCAAGACCAGGAGCATGAGGCGCCAAGGAGAGAGGCGGGACCTAGGACACCCCCGTGATGGTTGTTCATGTCACAACTTCAAACACGTCGGCCCCTTAGATGGGCACTAGACAGTGGGGTGATCACTTCCTAAGTTATTAAATGTCTAATCACCTGAAACTAATATCATAGTGTATGCCAACTATAACTGGAAAAAAATTTTTTAAATAATTAAATGTTACCCTGGCCAGTGTTGCTCAGTGGCTAGAGCTTCGGCCTGTGGGCCTGAGGGTCTCAGGTTCGATTCTGGTCAACGGCACCCACCTGGGTTTCAGGTTTGTTCCCCAGCTCCGGTCAGGGCAAGTGTGGGAGGCAACCAACCAATGTGTCTCTTTCACATCAATGTTTCTCTCTCGCTCTCCCTCCTCCCTCCCTCCCTTCCTCTCTCTCTTCAAAAAAATCAATGGAAAAAATATACTTGTGTGAGGATTAACAGAAATAAAATAATAAAATAAAATAACATAAAAAGATAAAAATTTCAAATGTTGACATCTTGTTAGCTATTTTCTGAAGAGCAGGGCCACTGTCAGCTAACTCAGATGCCACGCTCCCTGCACAGGAGCTCCCAGGTAGTCTGACGAAAACTATAAATTAATAACTCATATCAAAGGTAAAGGAGGCGAGGCCCATGCACTCAGTCACTTGCACAGAGAAGTGACAGCTCCAAGATAATATCAACATTGTGTTCAGATCACAGGCTCAGGAGTCAGGCTTCTTGAGTATGAACCTAGTTCCCATCAGTCAGGGGCCACATAGGTTCTGGTCACTCTCAGTGGCCTGTGGCCTCTCATCTGCAAGCCTTTGGGCGATGGCAGGAGAAGAGAGTTTCTCAATTATAATCCTTCATAGGGCTAGAGCGAAGGTCAGCCGAGGACAGTGCTTGGAATATAGCAATGGCCAATTACAGATCGGCTAATGTTATTGGATAACAGGTCTTCATATTTCCTTTCTAGTCTTTAACGGGGTCTAACCTGGCTTTATGGTGGTGATGCTCTCATGACACTCTCTGAGCCCTGGCAGATGTGGCTTGTGGATTGGGCATCACCCCCTGTACCGAAAGGTTGCTGGTTGATTCCTGGGCAGGGCACATGCCAGGGTTTGGGGCCCGATCCCCTGTGGGGGTGTGTGCAGGAAGCAGGTGATGTTTCTCTCCCTCTCCCTTCCTCTCTCTCTAAAATTCAATTTTTAAAATCTAAAAAAAAAAAAAAAAGACACTCCCTGAAACAGGCTCAGGATGATAAAAGAGCAAAATTTTCTAGGAAGCAAAACAAAACAATCACCAAGGCTGCTGGGAATCTTCAGTGCTCTCACACTGAACAAATCGGTTGTTTTGCTGAAATGTTGACATGTGGGTTAAAGCTAGAATGGTCCTTCTAACTTGCAGGCTTGCAGGATTTCAACCAATGGGTGGAAGTTGAGTGGCACTGGAGTCACTCTGACTTACTCAAAGAAAGACCTTTGGAAGAGTCGGAGCTCAGACTGAATTAATGGGCTGTGTGATGGGTACAAGTGAGACCCCTTCTCCCCTTCACCAATTAGAAGTAATCATAAGTCATCCAAAAGGTGATAGCAAAGGTTTTTCTGCAATGGGAGGGCAGTTGGCTACATGAACTTCAAGTTACTTTTAATAGCCATTAGTCTTGGAATCGAGTATTTTGGGAGTTGGTCTGAATTTTACCCAGTTTTTTCTCTTTCAGAACTGAATGTGCATTTACACCCTCCGGCTCCAGGTGGGAATACATTTTTTTTATTTGTTAGCATCTCATATGTTGGCCCCCACTTATGAAACAATATTATATTCCTGAAAGTTCCTTGCATTTTCCTGCTGTTTTACTCTTTCCTTTGCTTTTCTTCTGGCATGAAAGGCCCTCCCTCATCATAGCAGCCAAATCCTGTATTTCAAGATCCATTTCAGCCAGCCTCCTCAGGTTTCCTCCTCCCCCACCCCCGAAAAGAACTCTCTTCTCCTTTGGTACTAACATCCGCACTTGTGGGTCTTGTTGTTTGGTTGGTTGTTACTTTTAACAGCCTTCTATGTAGAGGTATAACCTACATATCATAAAATTCACCCATTTTAAATGTACCATTTGAGGATTTTTAATAAATTTTCAAAGTGGTGTAAACATCACCTCAATCCAATTCTAAAACATTTCCATCACCCCAAGAAGATCCCTTGTGCTCCTTTGCCCTCACCCCTGCTCCCATTCCCATGCAACCACTAGTCTGCTTTCTCTCGCTTTAGATTGGTCTTTTCTGGACCAATTTCAGATACATGTGATCCTTTATGTCTGTTTTTTAAGTCAGAAAGTTAATCATAGAGCTCATATATGTTTACCTTAGATAACTGTGCCTCAGTGTCTCCATTCTTGGGAGAGTTGAACCAGATCTGTGTGTAGACAGCTGGTGCTCAGTTTTAACCTATAGCTCTCATGAAGTTGGGAATTTCAAGAGAGAAATAAAGATGTGGGAACACTTTATGGGGATAGTCAAGCCAGTGAAAGGGGAACTTTAGTGACAAATATATTGATTGGTTTTTAAAATGATTTCAATCAGCAATTACTTGTTTGGGGCTTTGGCCAACATTGCCTAGAGTGTATGGTGGGGAAACATAGCCCATCAGCTCTCTTGCTTTTAGGGTCAGAAGGAAGCAGTTTTCAGAGCAGCAGACAGCAGGGTTTCTCTATGTGTAGGCACCCCATGCTGAGGACCCACATTGACTTGGGAGGAACCTTATGACAGTAACCAAGTCATTGGACTGAAGTAAGGCTATCATTAAATGTGCTGGTGTCTGTAAATCGTTTCTAAACATGTTCAGCACAGAGTAAGCTATATAATAGCTTATTATGTAAGTAATAGCTCATTAATAATGAACATAGCAATAACTAATGCTAATAAAAATGTGAAATAATAATTTTAAATGTTAAATGATAAATATTATAACAATATAGTTAAATAATTAAATAAAAGTTCTGACATTGTTTAAAATAATATTATTAAATAATAAATATATAGTATATATTAATAAGTAATAAATACTTGCTAAATAATAAAAATAAATGAATCTTGTGTCAAAAATTTTTCAGGCTTATGAAGGGCCAACTAATATTGATTAAGGTTCTATTCTGTACCAGTTCCTATCAGTTGATAATATGGGTCTAGCTTTGAACAGGAAACCTGTGGTCATTTCTGACAAATGAGAAAGACTCTGAACAGGTCATTACGTGTTCAATAAACAGAAGACAAGGGAACCAATAAGGAAGTTCAGCACAGGTGGATCTAGCATAGTCTGGATGTTCTAGGAAGTGTCAAGGAGATTCACATGTAGGCTGAACATAAGAGGAGCTAAACAGGCAAGGGGCATGGCATTGCGGCCAAGCAGGGGTCCCAGATGGTCCGAGGTGAGGCTGGAGGTGTTTTGGGAACCAGATCAAGCGGGGCATCCTAAGCCATTTCAATGCCATTTCTTGTCTTAAGAGCAATAGGTCAGTGGCAGGGTCAGGTCTGTGTGTAAGAAAGAACACCTTCCTGTGTGTGCGGAACCGTGGGGCAAAAGGTTGGAGGTGCCCAGAAGTAAGTTACTGCTGCAGTCAAGGCACAATGCTAGGTGGTGACAAAGGGTGTGGAGGGAAGTGAATCACTTTGAGAGAGACTTAGGGGCTACCTTCAGAAGGCTAAAGGATTTCTTTTTCTAGGAGAGAGGGAGAAAGGGGACTATAAGAAAGGCCACAACTTCAGGTTAGGAGATTGGGTGTCCAGTCCCTGGAGGACTTGCACGGAAAGGAAGCCACCTGCTCCAGTCGGCTCCCAGCTCCAGATGAAACAAGGGTCCCTTTGATCCTTGCTCCTGTTTTGTGCTGCGCTCCGGGAAGGGAGTTAGCGAGGCTGGAGATGTGACTTGGGGGCAGTGGAGCATCGGTTCCCTGGGTAAGAGTGACCCCTGTTCTGCGTGTTTTCTCTTTTCCAGATAATATTAACACTCCCTGTATCTTTCCATTTATGTATGGCGATGTAATCCACTACAGCTGTACCACCGTCCGCAGCGACTATGCCTGGTGTTCTCTGGACAGTAAATTCCAGGGCAGGTGGCGATACTGCACGGGGACTGGTGAGTGCCCCTCCGCCCGACTGTCTCGGGCGCTCGGATCCGGGAAGCAGCTGACAGAAACGGGCTACCCGATTTGGGATATTGGATAAAACAGAGTCCAAATCCTCACTTTACTACACTTGTAACCCCTTTGAAAGCAGTTTGGTTTGGTTGGAAAGCACACACTGTTCGTTTCACAACGGTCAACTGTAAGACTTTATTTTTTTAAAAAAAAAATTTTTTTTAATCGAAATGTAGAGAGAGAGGAAGGGAGAAGAGACAAACATCGATGTGAGAGTGAAACATCGATCGGCTGCCTCCCGCACGCCCCCTGCCGGGGATGAAGCCCATAACCGGGGCATGTGCCCTGACCGGGAATTGAACCGACAACCTTTTGGTGCTGGGCCACACCGCCAGGGCCACCCTCGGACGCTCCTCTGTTTCTCTGCAGACCCCCCCCCGTGCACCTTCCCTTTCTTATTCAGAAGGAAGCTCTTCCACACGTGCACCTGGGACGGCTACATTCTAAACCGGACTTGGTGCGCACTCACCAAGAATTACGATCGAGATGGGAAATGGAAGCAATGCTCCCCTTACAAGTAAGCTGGCTGGGGGCAGATGGAGTGGGGGCCCTGAGATCTCTTAAAGTGGGGAAACCCTCTGGATTAATGGAAAGGGAAATTGGGGTCCAGATGATGTAGTGATGGCTCGGATCAGGGGTCAGCAGACGTTCCCTATGTATCTCACAGAAAACAATGGGCAACCGCACAGATATGTAAGGCGCGGGCCATGTAGTGATAGGAAGTGCTCGAATGGCATCAGCTGTAATTGAGGAGAAGCTCAGCGAAGTAGAGAAGCTAAACCCAGGCAGACAGCGCAGGCATTTCTGTTCACGACATAACGTCACTCTGTGTTGACCTGAAAATGAAAGGTCGATGTGAGAGGCAACAAGCATTTATTTGAGATCAGTAAGAAGAGCGATTCAGGCAGAACCGCAAATAGTGTTCCGATTGGGGGACAAAGGCAAGGGGTGTTTGTGACAGGGAAAGGGACTGATTACATCAATACAAGGAAGGCGTTTCTATCGGCGCAGATAAGCGAACATAGTGCCGCTCGTTCTAAACAATGGTTTTGATTTTGAGTCCGGTAGTCATAGCATCTGCTTTCTTGTTCTCTTTGCAAACAGTCCTTTGGGGCACAATGTTGCTTTAGGCACATCCCAAGGTTCTTGTGCCCTGTTTACTATCAAAAGATTTGAGGCATAAGACATGCAAGACACTTCCTCCGGGGTGGCAGCTCCAAGTCCATTTTAAAGAGGTTCCATTGATATTATTCTTCAGTTTCAAGGGAGACAACTTTAAGGAACACAAAAATTTTAAGAGAGTAGCAAATATATTATAAATACAGAAGAAAGATTCCAGATGGATAAGCATAAGGAAAGATTAGTAATGGTCACATTTGCCCTGGCCGGTGTGGCTCAGTGGTTAGAGCTCTGGCCCATGCACCAAAGGGTTGCAGGTTTGATTCCTGACCAAGGGCACATACCTCAGTTGTCGGCTTGATCTTGGGTCCCAGTCTGGATGTGTGCGGAAGGCAACCAATCGACATGTCTCTCACATCGATGCTTCTCTCTCTCTCCTTCTCTCTCTCTCTCTCTCAAAATCAATGGAAAAAATATCCTTAGGTGAGGGCATAAAAAATAAAAAATAAATAAAAATAAGTGGTCACATTTGCACTGGTTTGCTGCTGAGCTCCAGTTGGGTATCTTTCTGTGCTAATATTTGTAACTGTATGCATGCATCACTTCTATCTTTTAAATATTTATTTTGATTTGCACAAGTAATATGTGAAGAAATGCTCATTTAAACATCGAAGCAACACAGCCCAGCCGGTGTGGCTCAGTGGCTGAGCATCGCTGGTGCACCAAGAGGTTGCTGGTTCAGTTCCCAGTCAGGGCACATACCCGGGCTCTGGGCCGGATCCCCAGTAGGGGGCGGGCAGGAAGCAGCTGATCCATGAGCGAAGGATGTTTCTCTCTCATCCATGTTTCTATCTCTNTGCCTTCCAGCCAAGGTCCGGATGAATCGCGAGCAGCATCGTCTCGGGCAATTAACTAAATTCCCAGAGGAACGGAGCTTCGGCTCCAGTTGGTCGCATGACCAAGGGCAAGGCACCCGGCTCTGGGGAGGTGGGGTCCATGACATGGGATTCAGCGGCGCTGAGTGCGGTCGCAGGGTTGTGCCACCACCTCTCTCCAGCCCCAAAGTGGCTTCATCGCACCCCGGGCGGCCCAGCGCCCCAAGGTGGCCGGCTCAGTCCCCTGCGGGCCACAGACCAGAAGCAGCGCGTGAATGAGCGGGACAGCACGTCCCTGTTTCTCTCTCTGCTTTCCTCGCTCTCTAAAATCAATAAAATTTTAAAAAGATATAAAACTTTTAAAAATCACCCCAAAAGGAACCCCTGTGCCCACTCAGCAGCCACTCCCCAGCCTTGAGTGTCATGCGGTAGGGAGCGGAGTTCGATACTTTGCTCTGTCTCTCAGATGCCGGAACATTTTGTTCAAAGAGCTGGGACTCTCCGTAAGTCCCTTCAATGGCCCCTCGCAGGTGCCCTGGGGACAAAGAAAGGCCTCAGGCCTCGCTCTGTTCCCCTCACTCCCCGCCCGAATGTTCGCGCTCACTCTGCCTCCCCAGTAGAAATAGCTGCCCATCCTGCAGGCTCTGGGCCCAGGCTGTTGGAGTAAAAAGCTGTACAAAAATATCAGGATTTTTTTTTTTCAGATTCAACAGTTTTGTGTCGTAAAAAATAATATAAACGGAGCTATTTTAAAATGGAGTTGGAGTTGCCATCCCATGCCTGATGCCTCAAACCTTTGGATGTTAAAACGAGGCAAATGCCTGGCTGGTGTGGCTCAGCGGTTGAGCATCGACCTAGGATCCAAGAGATCGATGNTTTCATCCTAAAAGGGGCCTAACCTGCACAGGGAGGAGGTCCAGCTTTGGGGTCCTGGCTGGGTGGCTCAGTTGGCTGGCGGGTCCTCCCGGGCACCAAAAGGCTCCGAGTTCAATCCTCGGTTTGGGGGCGTAGGGGAGGCAACTGATAGATATTTCTCTCTCCCATTGATGTTTTTTTCTCCCCCCCTCCAAATCAATAAAAATGTCCTTGGGTGAAGATTTAAAAAAAAAAGAAAGAGTTTTGGGGTCAGAAACAGTGCCCCTCAAAGGCAGAGTTACCTTAGAGGCTCAGTTTCTGGAGCCTGAGGACTTAAACTGCTTCTCAGTCCCGTGGCTTTGAAGAAGCCATTTTCCTCCCAAGCCTCCCTTTCTGTACCTACAAAGCGGAGATCATCGTAATAATACATAACCTAGAAATATCACATAATAATGCCCCCTTCCAGGGCATTGCAAGCGCGGGGTTCCCCAAGACCAGGAGCATGAGGCGCCAAGGAGAGAGGCGGGACCTAGGACACCCCCGTGATGGTTGTTCATGTCACAACTTCAAACACGTCGGCCCCTTAGATGGGCACTAGACAGTGGGGTGATCACTTCCTAAGTTATTAAATGTCTAATCACCTGAAACTAATATCATAGTGTATGCCAACTATAACTGGAAAAAAATTTTTTAAATAATTAAATGTTACCCTGGCCAGTGTTGCTCAGTGGCTAGAGCTTCGGCCTGTGGGCCTGAGGGTCTCAGGTTCGATTCTGGTCAACGGCACCCACCTGGGTTTCAGGTTTGTTCCCCAGCTCCGGTCAGGGCAAGTGTGGGAGGCAACCAACCAATGTGTCTCTTTCACATCAATGTTTCTCTCTCGCTCTCCCTCCTCCCTCCCTCCCTTCCTCTCTCTCTTCAAAAAAATCAATGGAAAAAATATACTTGTGTGAGGATTAACAGAAATAAAATAATAAAATAAAATAACATAAAAAGATAAAAATTTCAAATGTTGACATCTTGTTAGCTATTTTCTGAAGAGCAGGGCCACTGTCAGCTAACTCAGATGCCACGCTCCCTGCACAGGAGCTCCCAGGTAGTCTGACGAAAACTATAAATTAATAACTCATATCAAAGGTAAAGGAGGCGAGGCCCATGCACTCAGTCACTTGCACAGAGAAGTGACAGCTCCAAGATAATATCAACATTGTGTTCAGATCACAGGCTCAGGAGTCAGGCTTCTTGAGTATGAACCTAGTTCCCATCAGTCAGGGGCCACATAGGTTCTGGTCACTCTCAGTGGCCTGTGGCCTCTCATCTGCAAGCCTTTGGGCGATGGCAGGAGAAGAGAGTTTCTCAATTATAATCCTTCATAGGGCTAGAGCGAAGGTCAGCCGAGGACAGTGCTTGGAATATAGCAATGGCCAATTACAGATCGGCTAATGTTATTGGATAACAGGTCTTCATATTTCCTTTCTAGTCTTTAACGGGGTCTAACCTGGCTTTATGGTGGTGATGCTCTCATGACACTCTCTGAGCCCTGGCAGATGTGGCTTGTGGATTGGGCATCACCCCCTGTACCGAAAGGTTGCTGGTTGATTCCTGGGCAGGGCACATGCCAGGGTTTGGGGCCCGATCCCCTGTGGGGGTGTGTGCAGGAAGCAGGTGATGTTTCTCTCCCTCTCCCTTCCTCTCTCTCTAAAATTCAATTTTTAAAATCTAAAAAAAAAAAAAAAAGACACTCCCTGAAACAGGCTCAGGATGATAAAAGAGCAAAATTTTCTAGGAAGCAAAACAAAACAATCACCAAGGCTGCTGGGAATCTTCAGTGCTCTCACACTGAACAAATCGGTTGTTTTGCTGAAATGTTGACATGTGGGTTAAAGCTAGAATGGTCCTTCTAACTTGCAGGCTTGCAGGATTTCAACCAATGGGTGGAAGTTGAGTGGCACTGGAGTCACTCTGACTTACTCAAAGAAAGACCTTTGGAAGAGTCGGAGCTCAGACTGAATTAATGGGCTGTGTGATGGGTACAAGTGAGACCCCTTCTCCCCTTCACCAATTAGAAGTAATCATAAGTCATCCAAAAGGTGATAGCAAAGGTTTTTCTGCAATGGGAGGGCAGTTGGCTACATGAACTTCAAGTTACTTTTAATAGCCATTAGTCTTGGAATCGAGTATTTTGGGAGTTGGTCTGAATTTTACCCAGTTTTTTCTCTTTCAGAACTGAATGTGCATTTACACCCTCCGGCTCCAGGTGGGAATACATTTTTTTTATTTGTTAGCATCTCATATGTTGGCCCCCACTTATGAAACAATATTATATTCCTGAAAGTTCCTTGCATTTTCCTGCTGTTTTACTCTTTCCTTTGCTTTTCTTCTGGCATGAAAGGCCCTCCCTCATCATAGCAGCCAAATCCTGTATTTCAAGATCCATTTCAGCCAGCCTCCTCAGGTTTCCTCCTCCCCCACCCCCGAAAAGAACTCTCTTCTCCTTTGGTACTAACATCCGCACTTGTGGGTCTTGTTGTTTGGTTGGTTGTTACTTTTAACAGCCTTCTATGTAGAGGTATAACCTACATATCATAAAATTCACCCATTTTAAATGTACCATTTGAGGATTTTTAATAAATTTTCAAAGTGGTGTAAACATCACCTCAATCCAATTCTAA